TAGTAGTAGTAGCAGTAGCAGTAGCAGTAGCAGTAGCAGTAGCAGTAGCAGTAGCAGTAGTAGTAGTAGTAGTAGTAGTAGTAGTAGTAGTAGTAGTAGTAGTAGTAGTAGTACAAGAAGTAGTAGTAGGAGTACAAGAAGAAGGTAGTAGTAGTAGTAGTAGTAGTAGTAGTAGTAGTAGTAGTAGTAGTAGTAGTAGTAGTAGTGGTAGCAGTAGTTGTAGTAGTAGTACTAGTAGGACCATATAGTTGTCGTGGTCGCGGTAGCAGTAGCAGCAGTAGCTGTAGTAGTATTGGTGCTAGTGTTGCGGCAAGTGCTAGTGCTGGTGCTAGTAATAGTAGTAGTAGTAGTAGTAGTAGTAGTAGTAGTAGTAGTAGTAGTAGTAGTAGTAGTACTAACTAGTATTAGTAGTAGTAGTAGTAGTAGTAGTAGTAGTAGTAGTTGTAAGTAGTAGTAGTCGAAGAAGAAGTAGTAGCAGTCGTAGTAGTAGTAGTAGTAGTAGTAGTAGTAGTAGTAGTAGTAGTAGCAGTGGTAGTAGTAGTAGTAGTAGTAGTAGTAATAGTAGTAGGAGTAGGAGTAGGAGTAGGAGTAGGAGTAGTAGCAGTAGCAGTAGCAGTAGCAGTAGCAGTAGTGATAGTGGTAGTGGTAGTGGTAGTGGTAGTGGTAGTGGTAGTGGTAGTGGTAGTGGTAGTGGTAGTGGTAGTGGTAGTGGTAGTGGTGGTGGTGGTAGTGGTAGTGGTAGTAGTAGTAGTAGTAGTAGTAGTAGTAGTAGTAGTAGTAGTAGTAGTAGTCGTACTAGTAGGAGTAGTAGTAGTAGTAGTAGTAGTAGTAGTAGTAGTAGTAGTAGTAGTAGTAGTGGTAGTAGTAGTAGTAGAAGAAGTAGTAGTAGTAGTAGCAGCAGAACAAGAAGTAGCAGAAGTAGGAGTCCAAGAAAAAGTAGTAGTAGTTGCAGCAGTAGTAGTAGTAGTAGTAGCAGCAATACTAGTAGTAGTAGTAGTAGTAGTAGTAGTAGGAGTCGGAGTAGGAGTCGGAGCAGGAGTGCGAGAAGGAGTAGGGGTAGCAGTAGGAGTAGGAGTAGGAGTAGTAGGAGTGGTAGCAGCAGTAGCAGCAGCAGTAGTAGCAGTCGCAGTCGCAGTCGCAGCTGCAGCGCAGTCGCTTTCGCATCCGCAGTAGCACTAGCAGTGGCCGTAGCCGTAGCGGCGGCAGCGGCAGCACTAGCAGTAGCAGTAGCAGTCGCAGTCGCAGCAGAGGAGTGGCGGCAGCAGCAGCGGTAGTGGTAGCGGTAGCGGCACCGGGAGCAGTAGCAGTGGCAGTAGCGGTAGAGCAGGAGCAGCAGCAGGATTACAGGAGCAATAGCAAGGAGCAGGAAGCAAACAGCAAGGAGCAAAGAGCAAGGAGCCAGGAGCCAGGAGCTAGCAGCCAGTATAGCAGTCGCAGTAGCAGTACAGCGGGTTAGTAGTCGTTGTGGTGTAGTAGTAGTAATAGTAGTAGTAGTAGTAGTAGTAGTAGTAGTAGTAGTCGTTGTTGCAGTTGCAGTAGTAGTAGCAGCAGTAGTAGTAGTAGTAGTAGTAGTAGCAGTAGTAGTAGGCGGCCCCCCCCCTACCCACTACCCCTTTTGCATGCGTTGCTTTGGGGGGGGTGGGGGGGTGGGGGGGGGGGCTGATAACGTACAGGCATCCTCGAACAGTTATGACCACACATTTTCGAGTTTTCGCTGAAAGCCCTCGCAAAGGCAAAAGACAACGTAGCAAAGTCCAGAGGTAGGCTTGGCGACGAGAAAGAAGGCTGACGTCGCGAAAGCAATGTAAATACCAAGCAAAACGGCTCTTCCGGAGATGTTGTTCGGGGTGTCTGCGTAACAATGCCGTCATCATTCTTCCCGCACCCCCCCCCACCCCCCGCCAAAAGCAAGTCCAGAATCGGATGCTGGAGTTTGAAAACTCGTTGTTAGTAATGCAGTGTGACATGAGCAAAGTACTTTAAAGACCGAGTAAAAAAGCTTTCCCCCACCCAATTTCGAGTTTTTCGCTGAAAGCCCTCGCAAAGGCGAAAGACAACATAGCAAAGTCCAGAGGTAGGCTTGGCGACTATATAAGATAGCAGACGTCGCGAAAAGACGGTAAATACCGAGTACAATGGCTCTTCCGGAGATCTTGTCCGGGGTGTCGGCGTAATGATGTCGTCATCATTCTTCCCGCACTCTCCCACCCACCCCAAAAAGAAAAGTTCCGAAAACGATCACGGAGTTTCAATACTCGGAGGTGATTTTTGAGGCTTCATAAGATGTTGCTACATGCCGAAAGTGCTGTAAATCTCGAGTAAAACGGATGTGTGTTACAAGCGTATGTCACACGAGGTAGTGGGGGTGGGGGCGGTGGCTAGTAGTAGTAGTAGTAGTAGTAGTAGTAGTAGTAGTAGTAGTAGTAGTAGTAGTAGTAGTAGTAGTAGTAATAGTAGTAGTAGTAGTAGTAGTAGTAGTAGTAGTAGTAGTAGTAGTAGTAGTAGTAGTAGTACTAGTAGTAGTAGTAGTAGTAGTAGTAGTAGTAGTAGTAGTAGTACTACTACTACTACTACTGCTACTGCTACTGCTGCTACTACTACTACTACTACTACTACTACTACTAATAAATAGCAAGTAGTAAGCAATGAGGAGTAAGTAGTAAGAAGTAAGAAGTAAGTACTAGTAATTCGTAGTAAGTCGTGGTAAGTAGTAGTAAGTAGTAATAAGTAGTACTAAGTAGTACTAAGTAGTAGTGAATGGTGGAAATAGAAGTAGAAGTAGTAGTAGAAGCAGAACTAGAAGTAGAAATAGAAGTAGAAGTAGTAGAACTATTGGCAGTAGCCGTCGTCGAGCAGCAGCGGCAGCAGGTCGTCGTTATGGTCGTGGTAGTGGTAGTGCAGAGAACTAGAATAGTCGTGCTACTAGTGCTGGTGCTGTTGAGAGTAGTGCTGCGCGGCACTAGTAGTAGTACACTGAGACGAGCAGCAGCAGTAGCAGCAACAGCCGGCTGCTGGTAGCAACTAGTAGCTCTACGCACGCCGACCGAAAAAGTCCCCTGTCCGTCGACCCAGGCTTTTGTAGAGCTTTGTCGGCGCGCGACAGTCGGCCGTAGCAGCCGTAGCGCAGTCGGCCAGTCGTAGCAGCTCGGTCCGTCGACCGGGGTTTTTGTTAGAGCTTTGTTGTGGAATGGCAGCCTGGCTTGCAACAGTCGGCCCTAGTAGCCACAGCGCAGTCGGCGTGGCAGTCGTAGCAACAGTTGGCTGCAAGTGCGCCGTGTGACCCGGATTGGGAAGCCGGTGCAAGTGCCAACCTGATGCAGCGCCGTGCGACCCGGATTGGGAAACCGGTGCAAGTGCCAACCTGATGCAGCCGACAGGCTGAAATTCCGCCCGGCGTCAGACCGGCTGTTGGCCATGGCTCCACAGACGTGCTTCGTCCTACAGTTTTTCAGTTCTCGTTGACGTGACCATGACTCCCATCTAGAAACAGTTCTGCAGTTTATTAGTACACGGACTGACACGGTCTTTGCGGTCTTCTGCACTAGTACACAGACTGACGCGGTCTCTGAGGACGTCTGCACATAGAATGTGCTCTATGTTCCGTTTTAGCTGATTGCTCGGGTAAGACGGAGGGAACCATGCTTATAGGGCCTTCCATGTAAATTGGTGTGCAGAAGTCAACAGCTTTTCGGCGCCTCGACCCAAGTTTTTGAGAAGTGTGTCGTGTGGTGGCAGGACGCCAGTTTCACACTGCTACAGCAGAGAGTGAGCCATCGAGATGTTATTTTGCTGAAGCCTATGTGCGGTGATGCCGTTGCCAGCCTCCGCCGGGTATCGTTGCCCTGGGTTGCTGTTGGGCCGCAGGCTGAAACCTTGGTCTATGCTCTTGGCAACAACACTGCTTGCAGCTCAGCCACACTGTCATGCTCACACACGCCAATTCGACGTGCGAGTATGTGCGTGTGTGTCTCAAGGTCAACATGGTGGTTAGCTCGTGTTCGGTCCCGAGTTACAGCATGTGGCATGTTGCGTCTGCATAGCTAGGGGACTTTTGGCGCATCTCCAGGAGGCCGTGCCGGATTTCGTTGCACCTCCGCGTACATCGCTCCATGCTGTCGGCAGCTGAGAAGCAGTTTCCCGGCCGGTTTTTGTGCGATATCGCGGCATGCAGAGGGCGAGCATGTGCAGTTGCGATTGTGTGAACTGTGTGAGTTGGTGCCTTGCAGATTCGGATGGGGCATGTCGGGCATGTTGGGTCATGAAGCATGTTGCAAGCTGGTTCTTTGCATCACCAGGACCACGAGCAAAGTGGCCAAACAAATCTGGCCAACCAGACGCAGCCTTACAGGTTCATATGTTGCGGCACGCTCAACATCTTACCTGCAAAGTCGTTGCATGTGCATGTTTGTGTGGGCAATGGCTGCATGGTTTCATGTTTACACTGCTGCTTCAATATCCAATGAAGCACAGCGACAAAGTTCATGTAGTTCAGGCAGCCACGAGACGCGACAGGCTGCCCGCATGTCGCAACATGTCATGCAAACCAAACAGCTTGAATCAACAAGTGCGACTTCCTGGGCTGTTGTGGCAGGTTCGTCTTCGCCGTTGCTCAGCAATCCCCTCAGTACCACACGTTGCATGGCCAGCTATCGGCATGAAGAGTGCCACTTCGGGAGGGTTTTGTTGCTCGGAACGGTGCTCAGGAAGAGCTGGTGCTGAAAGCGCCCAAAGCGAAGTCTGGAACTTGGTAGTGTCAACTGCAAAGTCTGATCCGAGTGACTTGCGAACCTAGTTGCAGGCTCGCGCAGACACGCGTTGCAATCCATGGGGACATGATCTGTGAGACATCCTGGTCTGGGCCCAGGTCGGTGAGGACCGGTCCCAGCTGGTCCAGGCCAAATTGGAAGCATTGTGGGTACCAAGTTTTTAAGCATCCCCAACATTAATGAGTCCTTGCGGTGTTGGTCGTGCTGATGTGCTGAGCTGCTTGTGTGCCAGGCATGGGGCGTGTTTGGTGTAGTGGCTTACCTTTCCTACGGTGTGGCCAAAGTCGCCAGGAACCTGGGAACGGGCTCGTGTAGCTTTTGAGGCACTAACAGGCAGACCTTAGGCATGACACGGCACAGTTTTCCGGTGTGAGACCTCAACAAAGTTGTCGTAAGCAAATATCCAGCCTGTGCATGATGCGTTCAACAAGGTGCCTATCGTGCTGGATGGGTTGGGTGCCATCGAGGCCAGCAGCGGCTGAATAGGGGCGACGGGTAAGCTTGTGAATTGTGTTTATTAAAAAAACTGTTTTTATAAAAAAAAAGCAAAAAATCACAAGCAGTTGCCAGGAAGTCTGGCAATGGGCTCTGCTGGCAGTGACGCTGCTCTTCTTCGCATATGTGGAGGCTCGGAATATCCCAGCTAGCTGCAAAGAGTCTGGGCTCCCAAACACCAAATCCTACAAACACCAACTATAATCATGAGTACCCTTCAGATCACACAGTAGTATGCATGATTGTAATGATTATCGCGCTGGCTTCATGACGAATAGTCGGAAGAGCGGGTCGACGAACACCTTGTGTGTACGGTTTATCCTTTAGGGTTTATGGTTGAGGGTCCCGCAAGCAATAAGTCCGCCAGCTCCAGTGTCCGAAGTATTCGTGACATGGCAGATGTAGGTTTCATGCTTCATCGGTCTCTTTGGAGCCGAAGCCTCAAGCCCCGAACCCGAAATCTCAACTTCGAGGCATTTCAACTTGAATGCTCAACTCGTCCTCCAACCTACACCTTGAAGCCCAGCAGCCGCTTTCCAGGGCTACCGGGGGTTCCAGCTCGGCTTCTCCCCACGCGTCGTGAGCCGCGCATGGGTCGTCTCGGAGGTGCCAGGGTGAGGGCTGCTTACGGTTTACAAATCTAGGGGGCGACTGCCTTTGGCTCCTCAAGACTAAGAGAGCAGTTGGCTTACTTGATTCGTCGACCGTGGCCAATCCTCGTTGAACCGGACTCGACTGAGTTGGTAATGTCAATGCGGGCCCCTGATGAAGAAACATCCTCCCCTAAACAAGGGTCGTCATACGGATGCTGTACTTCATGCAAAGGGCATCTCATTCATCAGGATCTACATTACCCTTCGGTGCAAGGCTTGAAGGTCTCAGTGTGGGCTACGGGATCAAATCACTGAAGGGCTGACGATGTATCAGCAGCGGCAGGATTCAATCTGCTAGCTTTGGGAGGTAGGTTCAGGGTGAAAGGAGTGCCAAACTTAGGCTCGAGGTGGATTTCAATAGCAGGCTTTCGATGTTGCGGAGCTGGATGGGATGTTCTCCATTCCCATATTTGGTACTCGAGTCTGGCACTAAAAACGTGTTCGATTTCCAGGCCAATATTTGAGTCCACTCATCACTCTTTCTCTGAATTCTCAACTCCAAAAAAAGTGATCACCGTTTCTTTTGCTTGCGCAGCCACTCCATCCGACAGCACAGCATATTGAGCTGCGAATTCGAGCAACTTCTGCAGTTTCAGATGCTCCTTACCCACTGCTCCACACAACTTCAGAAACAAAAAGCCTTTCTTGATCAGCATTGCCAAACCATGCCGCAGCTACCACCACCGCCATCGCCACCAGAACCAGCAGCAGAAGACCGCCCAAACACCCACCTTCAGTACCACTGCCACGGCAGCATCAGCCACGCCAGCGGCGTCAGCAGCAGCGGCTGCATCGGCATCCGCAGCGGCAATAGCAGCAGTCCCACCACCACCACCACCACCACCACCACCACCACCACCACCACCACCACCACCACCACCACCACCACCACCACCACCACCACCACCACCACCACCACCACCACCACCACCACCACCACCACCACCACCACCACCACCACCACCACCACCACCACCACCACTCGTTTTTTTTTCTTTTCCTTTCAGACCAGTTCGGACGCTTTCTGGAAGTTGGGATAGCACTGCGACATATTCGTTGCTGTTTACACATGCAGCTTTCCTCGCGATTCGAACTCTTGAATACCATGGTGAGCGCTGGTATTTCGAAGGAATCCATGTCAATGTGGCTCTTGCTCGCAGGAGACATCCGAAGCTCCGGTGTGGCACAAAGTGCTAGCGGTGGATCCGCCGTGTTTTCTCGCCAATTTAAGCTTTCGTGGACGGTTCGTGCCACTAGGTAGAGCCCCGCAGCACTAAAAGGAACATCGATCCATTACAGTTCTTCGGATGTGGTTTTGTGGGTATGTTCCAAGATTCGCATCGAAGGATTCTGGCTTACGGTGTGTGGCTTTGGCGGCTTAGAGTGTTGTCATTCACCGGCTTCCACTGTTAAGCCTGAATCCACAACCAAGTTTACCTGCAAGTAAGACTCATGACTCTTTCGGCCAGCCCGCGTTCTGCATCGGGTACTTCCACGGCACGAAGCGGCGTGTAATCACCAGTTGGGCTGCTGCTCGGCCGCAGAAGTTGGAATGTCGGGTTCAGCTTGTAGCTCAGGGGGTCGGCGGTTTTGGCCTAGGAGGTTTTAGGGCTTTCAGTTTATGGTTGTTCAGTTTGGGGTTTTGAGTTTCTCTTGCTGCCTAGGTCTATATAGTTTTGTGGCGTTGCTGCACTGCAACTTTCCGAGCAAAGGGAAGCCTGGCGACACTGTTCAACTCAACAGAAGCCGTTGGTCGCAAATTAGAGCCTACTCGCTCTGAGAAGAGTAAGTTGTGGGGAGCTTTAGAGGGGCATGGATGTGCAACTTGGCGATGACAGCTCAGGTGACAACAGTTATCTTCGCCGTCGTTATAGGCCTGCACCAAGCTGCAAATTCACGACGGGATTCTTGTGCAGACATGATGTGCAGATGTTTCTGTCGATGTCTCAGAAGCTCATTCCTCCACTTGCCTTCCAGCTCCGCAGGCGTCAAGCAGCTGGACAACCCCTACAGAGCCATCATCGACGCTGGCGTCATCGTGGGGCTCAGCTGCTCAGCAGCACTCAGCCGGCCATGTTAGCGCATGTCGTGGCCGTCATTATCATCACATCGCCATGGACATGTTCACCATCACCACCCAGAACCAAGTTGTATCCAGGGTACTCACACTCACAGCCACGGCCTACCGGCTGCAGCTTCTGAGAACGGCTTTCTTAACAACACCGAAACAAAGCTCAACCCTTCAAGCCGTTGCAGTGTGGGGCATCCTGTCCATCATCGTCCTCTACATCGCTTCGTTGCAAAGCCAGAAGCCCCCCGAGTACGATCCGGTTGGCCCGGCCTCGCTTGCTGTCGAAGCGTTTTTTTGGGGTTTAGGGCTTTTGGGGTTGGGGTTTTGTGGTTCCTGGCTTTAGTAGCTTCTAGGCTTGGTTTTGGTAGGGTTTAGTGCAGGCCAGGGTTGAAGCCTTAAGGTGCTGCTCTGAGGGAGTCGGACCTCGGCCTCGGGTTTCTGTTGCAAGTGCTGCAGTGAGTTTCCGGGGATGGCTTCTATGAGGTCGTTGACACGGTGTTGAATGGTTGTAAATGTTTTTGAAGGGCCTTCTGTAGCGGGCGGTCCCTGGCCGTGGTAGTACTTGGATATACTTGGATAGTGGGTCCCTGTCATATCCTGAACCCTGGACCCCAAATCCACTTCTTGCCGCAGCTGCTTAGCCTGGCTCCGTGCCCGGTAGAGTCGACGCGCTCAGTGCATTTCGTGCCACTGCCCCAGTTTGTCAGACCCTGCATAGTCTGTGGAGCAGAGCAGCGCCCATCTACGATGAGGTACGGTGAGGTAGCACTGTTGCAGCAGCTTTGGTGGTGGTGGTGGTGGTGGTGGTGGTGGTGGTGGTGGTGGTGGTGGTGGTGGTGGTGGTGGTGGTGGTGGTGGCGGTGGTGGTGGTGGTTGGTGGTGGTGGTGGTGGTTGGTGGTGGTGGTGGCGGCGGCGGCGGTGGTGGTGTTGGTGTAGTAGTAGTATTGGCAGCGGTAGTCGTAGGTGGTAGTAGTAGTCGTAGTGACAGTAGCAGTAGCAGTAGTAGTAGTAGTAGTAGTAGTAGTAGTAGTAGTAGTAGTAGTAGTAGTCGTGGTGGTGGTGGTGGTGGTGGTGGTGGTGGTGGTGGTAGTAGTAGTAGTAGTAATAGTACTAGTACTAGTTAGTACTAGTACTAGTACCCACAGAGGCCATGCCCGCTGGAAGCAGGAGCTTGTCAGTAAGAGTTTTCATCAAAGCATTAGTTGAACGACTTGATGCCCTAGGCCTCTTCTTTGCGCCCTGGACGCTGGACCCCAAAGCCCAATCTTGTCCCAGGCCATCGTTTTACCATGCGCGTGGTCGCAGTGGCGGCCTTGGCTGCACGGATTGCATCGGCCGGAGATCGCTTTCTACAGGCGGCCGCCCAAGCCGAGGAGCGCAGGTGTTTTGAAGCGCCTGTCGCTTGTCTTGCTGGGCGCTTGCACGGTCGTGCAAAAATGTCTGATCCCTGTCGAATCAGAAGTATGTCTCTCATATCTGCAGTTTTGTGCATAGCTGCCGAACTCACATGATGAGGAGCCTGCGAAGAGCTTTCTTCCTGTGGCGCCCAGCGATCTCTCAATCGCCTCAGCCTGCTCCGCATATCCGAAGTGCGTGGAGCGCGGTCTGACCGATGGCGCATGTTGCCCCAGTGCAGGACAGAGACTTGTACCTGCTGCTAGAGGTAATATAGGGCGACAATCAAAAACTATTTTCGGGGCCTAAAACCGTAGTCTAATTATTAAGGCCCCAATATTAAGAGCATGACATCTTGCAAACGTGCTGACATTCGCACTGCCGATCGCTGGAGGATCAGGCAGGTTCGGATTGAGGCAAAGGAAGAGGAAGCTGAGGGGCAAGACTCGAAACTCATCACGGCCTGATTTTTAATAAGGTTAATTCTAATGCTACGCAGCCCGCCTCGGCCGCCGGCTGCAGTAGGGCCAGCAGGGGCGCAGAGCAGGGGCCAAACTGCGAAGGGCCTCTTAAAGCAGGTGTAATTTAGTTGCAGGGTCAGGGCTACTTGGAGAAGTGTGGCAAGTGTAGAGCAAACACATGCAGCAAAACCCACAGTGGAGCCCGGGGCAGGCCGAAAGAAAAGAAAAGGTGAAAGAAAACGAGCAGGCAGAAGACAAAAAACAAGGGGAAGCCGGAGGAGGAAGGGGGGGCCGGAGGAGGAAGGGTGGGGGGGAGGGGGGGGGAAGAAAACAAGCCAAAAAGAAGTGCACGAAAAAGTCGCAATGGAAAAAACACGCGAGGGCAGGACAAGACGGAAGGGTGGGAAAAGGGGCCGGGGGAAGGCCCGGGGGGAGGGGGGCCGGGGAAGGGAGGGAGGGTCGGGGGGGGGGGGAGCTTCAACGAGGAAGCAGGAGAGCCAAAGCACGCGAACGAAACATAAGAAGAAAAAACAGTGGAGCCGGCCCGGGGGGGGGCAGGCCGAAAAAGCCAAAGCACGCGAACGAAACATAAGAAGAAAAGGCAGTGGAGCCGGCTCGGTGGGGGGCAGGCCGAAAGAGGAGAAAAGGTCGAAAAAACACGCGAGGGCAGGACAACACGGAAGGGTGGACTGGCCGGCCGGAGGAGGAAGGGGGGGCCAGCAAGAGGGGGAGGGGGGAAGGAAGGAAAACAAGCCAAAAGAAGTGCAGAAGGGTGGGAAAAGGGGCCGGAACAAAACAGCAAAACGAGAGCTTCAACGAGGAAGCAGGAAAGAAGCACGCAAACGAAACATAAGAAGAAAAGACAGTGGAGCCGGGGGCAGGCCGAAAGAGAAAAGAAGGTGAAAGAAAACGAGCAGGCAATCGAAAAAACACGCGAGGGCAGGACAAGACGGAAGGGTGGGGAACCAAAAAAGGAAAACGAGCGAGGAGGGCAGAGGGGAGGACGGGCCGCAGGGGGAGAAGAGAGAGGGAGGGGGGAGGGGGGGGGCAGCGGAGCGGGGGGGCAGGGCAGGGGGGGGCAGGGCGGGCGGAGGGGGTAGGGAGGGGCAGGAGGAGGGGAGGCAAATTCGGCAGCAAAAAAGGACGGAAGCCGGGCAAGGGGGTCGAAAACAGTCGCTAAAAACGGGTGGAAGTTTGCGTTTGGGCTGCAGGGAGAAGGATTAGGTAGAGGGTTGGTTAGTATTAACCATCAAGACGCCAGAGGCCTTTGGCCTCGGCGGACAATTGACTACCCAATACCAAAGCAGGCAACCACTTAGCTTTGTCGTTACCGGCTGTCTGAAGAGGTTGCGGGGTCACCGAAACTCTGGAGTCGTCTCAGGATGTCTCAGGCAGCTGTCATGATGCCAAATTCGCCGTGAAAGGGTGCTCGCAGTGTTTGGAAGCTTGCCACCCAAGCCTCGGGGGTTTACTTTGCGAACTACAGTAGCGAGATCAACCGGGTGAGGCCACCTAGATCACCAAAGCCCATGATGTCTCTCAGCAGAAGGATCATGGGATCGCACATGTCGTCAAGGCGGGTTTATCTGATTCACGACCCGTTTGATGATGACTTTACGCCTTAACGACAGGAAGGTAGCAGAAGGGAGGAGACTTGTGTGAGGACCGGATGGTCAGCAGCTGGACTGCTGCGAGGGCGGCCCATCAGCTTGTACTGCCTTCGCTGCGTGCGTTTCTGAGGCTGGGAACCGTTCCGTCTGGGTTCGGGATGATTCGAGTTTGGGTGTCATATCCACCTGGGAGTTTGAGGCGAGTACTGGGGCAAGCATGATTCGAAACCATCCCTGCAAGTGATGGCTTGCTTCGCTTCTTCATTCTTCAATGGCTAAGAACCTCTCCAAACATCGGCCTTGGAGGATCTGACGCATTTCAGTGCACGTCGGGCGGAGGTTCGAGAGTTTTTAGCGTTCGGTGACGGGCGTCCCTTGGCACGGAGGCTAAACGCGGGAAGCTTCCATCATCAGGAACTGACTCCTTCTCAACAAGACAGGACTGGGACAGAAGACCATAAGACAAACTCCACGAACGCTTCAATCTGAGCACCAGTAGTACTTGTGATTGTCTTCGTGCTCGCATCGCAGCAACCTCCTTCAGGGCCACGGCTCGGGCACCTGCTGTGCAGCGGGTGCAGAGTTGGACTGCTGTCAGGCTCATGTCCGATCCTCTCGGGCTTCCGGTTGCGGGGGGGGGGGGGGCGTTGTCGGCTGTCATACACTGGGGAGTAAGGACTTGTGGCGTTTTCGGCTCATTGTTTCAAAGAGTTGTTTCGGGATGCTTGCCCTCAGTAGTGTCAACCACATGACAAGCGAATCTGTTCACGGGTCTTGTGCGTGCGCACTTCTTACTCCGAGCAACAATGAATCCGTCTGCTTGGCGAAAGGGATGCTGCAGTGTGTAATGTGTAGCAATCGATCAAGCATCCCAGACCTAAACGTAAAAGCTCGAGTCTTTCCAGTCCACCAACCACAGTATCAATCCCGTATGAAGCTTTCTGCTTTCATGCTCCAGCTCTCAGTTGAAGCCGCTTCAAACTGTTTCAGACTTCGCAGTTCTTCGCAGTGTGAAGCGGTTCTACACTATCATGCCTGAATCCAGTTGCAGGCCTCAGTGGAACCATGCATGAACACGAAGCCCATCGAAGGCCTTTGTCCTAACATCAAGCCCGCATTGAAACCCACATCTGAAACCCTAAGATCGAACCAAAATGCCAACTACTTAACCCGAACAAAACCGGCACGAAAAGACACCCGCACAAAACTTAGATTCTTGCGCAGGAGAAGCCCACGGCCTGCTCCGCTTACCCGCGGTGCGTCGCGGCGGGCCTCACGGAGGGCGCCTGCTGCCCCTCAGAGGTGGG